TTCTAATCCTAGGCGTCTTGCTAAATATTTTAAGTGTTTGAAGGTCAGAGCTTTTATGTCCTTAAAAGTAACTACCCCTGATTCTGAAAAAAATGTGCTAGCATTGACAACCCTGTAATGTAATAGTGTAAAGACAAGAAAGCCTTTTGCAGATCTTTCAAACAATTGTCACTTTGAACCCAATGCACTCTCTTCAATTCTTTTGTTTTGTCAAATCGCAACCAAGTATTCCCAAATTTGCCGTGACTCAACCCGAATGAAGTTATCCAAGTTATTATGGTTCCAGATGGAATATACCAATTTGTTAAGCCCCCAGGTGAGGAGGGATGAACTGGCTCCACTTCTTTATTCACCTGTCCCCTTGGTTCATTGAAACAAGGTTAATTTACAAATGGTTTGTTCCCTTTCTCCTAGACCACAATGCATTTATGCTTTGAAAGGAACCAATTTAACCAGACCTCCTTGAGTTAATAATAGAGTGAGTTTTCCCAGTTACTACATGCAAGAAAAATTAATGCAACACACATACATACCAATTAGGAATCAGAAGTGATGAATGAGAAGCATTCTAATGAGGAACTATACTTAAGGAAGACTCCAACACTGGAACAATCTTCATTAGAACAATGTAAAATGTGAAACAACACAATCGGTGTTTAAATGTATGAAAGCTTGGAACAAGGTGGGTGCAGAATGAGTCAGAAAAAAAGATGAAAGTTACAAGGTATATAGATCAGTTTTTGTGAGTTATTTGTAAAGCATATATAATGAAACATTAATACTTGAGCAGATGATTTCAAGATGCTTAGCTTTGCAGGTTGCTTGAAATTTTTTTGACTTGTTTCCTTTTGAATGGCTTGAAGGTTAGCTGGCATCTAGCACTCAGAGTGAGAGAGTTCTTAACCTGCCGCTCAGGGGTGATGAGTGGCTGGATCTTCAGTTGTGACCTTTATAGCCATACGAGCACTTGAACCCAGCCAGTACAGAAGAGTGCCGAACCAACTGGCACACACAACACCTTCGATCAGGACACTCAGACCAGGGTTGAACCGGTTTTTAACATCTTCGTGTGTAATTTTGAAAGGGAAAGACTTAAAAGATGTCACTTGGCAAGAGTGATACCTTTTCTGCCATCATGTTCATAGTCTGAGATAAAATGCAGGAGGTTAAAATTCAGTTTGTCGTATATTTTCTGCCTTTTACTTCCGTGCCTTTGAAGCTTCCTGACACCTCATTATGTGCAACATTCCAGGCTTTCTCTCTCTCAAGACTTCTCCTGAATTTCTATCCACAGTCAATTTGGCTGTATCAGTCCTCTTTTAAAAGACGCTTATTGGAATTAAAGGTGATCTGGGTTAGGATCCATCGTCATGACACTAAGACTACCACAAACACTCTTTCAGCATCTCTCCATTCAATTAACGACATAGTGAGTTCACACTTGTAAGATTACGCAGCAATGTAAATAAAACTATATTGTATCATGAAGAAGCTGCTATAAATGGTAAATAATAGGTGAACAACTTAGTCATCATACATTGGTCATCATGAATGTAAGATTGGCTTGAGCAACTATGTTCAGGGATGTGTAGATTAGGTGTGTTATAGGGAGAGCGGTCTGAGTGTGATGCTCTGAGGGTCGGTGTGGACTTGTTGGGTCAAAGGGCCTGTTTCCACACTGTAGGGATTTGAAGAAGATTCTAAGTTATTTTCCCCCTACTTCTCAATTTTATCCGTTTGTAAATATGAATGTCATAAATCTGAAAGAAAATATGAGGTCATTGGAAATAAACAGCAAATGGATCAGTTTTGGAGAGACAAAGCGGTGTTAACACTGAAATGTGTCACACATACTTTATGGCTTTTGCCCAAAGTTGTAAAGTAGAACTCAGAGACAGTAATGGTTGTTTTACAAAGCAGTTCCTTGTAATAAGGAACAAGAACAAAAATTGCTGGCAAAACTCAACAGGTCTGGCAGCATCTGTGCGGAGAAAATCATCAGTTCCAATAAAAAGTCACTGGATTCAAAATGTGAACTCTGCTTTCTGTCCGCAGATAAGATACAGAAGCAAATAGGCCATTCGGTCTGTCAGGTCTGCCCCACCTTTCGATCATAGCTGATATTTTTCTCAACCCCATTCTCCTGCCTTCTCCCCATAACCCTTGATCTCCTTACCAATCAGGAACCCTATCCATTTCTATGGTAAATATGCTCAATGACTTGGCTTCATAGCCTTCTGTGGCAATAAGTTCCACAGATTAACTACCCTCTGACTGAAGAAATTCCTTCTCATCTCAGTTCCGTAGGATTGTCCATTCATTCTGAGGCTGTTCCCTTGGGTCCTAGTCTCTCCTACTATTGGAAATATCTTCTCCATATCCATTGTATACAGACCTCTTAGTATTCTGTAAATTTCAATCAGATCCCTCCTTGTCCTTCAAAACTCCCATCAACAGATCCAGAGTCCTTAACCACTCCTCATATGACAAACCATTCATCCCCAGGATTATTCTTGTAAACCTCCACTGTACCCCCTGCAACGCTAGCACATCCTTCCTTTGAAATGGGGCCGAAAACTGTATATTCCGAATGCGGTCTGACCAGATCCTAATATACCCTCAGCAGTACATCTCTGCTCTTGTATTCTAGCCCTCTTGAAATGAATGCTAACATTACATTTGCCTTCCTAACTGCCAACTGAACCTGCATGTCAACCTTTAGAGAATCCTGAACCAGGACTCCCAAGTTTCTTTGTGCTTCAGATTTCTGAAGCCTTTCCTCATTTAGAAAATAATCTGTGCCTCTATTCTTACTACCAAAGTGCATAACCTCACACTTTCCCACATGGAATTCCATCTGCTGCTTCTTTGCCTGCTCACCTCGCCTGACCAAGTCCTTTTGCAACCTCCCCATTTCCTGAACACTACCTGCCTTTTCACCTATCTTAGTGAAATCTGCAAAATTAGCAACAATGCCTGCACCAGATCATTAATGTTTAATGCGAATAGTTCTGGCTCCAACACAGGGCTGTGAGGAGCTCCACTAGTCACCTACTGCCATCTTGACAAAGATCCCATTATCCCTACTCCCCATTTTCTGCCGGTCAGGCAATCCTATATCTCTGTCAGTACCTTGCCCCTAACACCATGGATTCTTGTCTTATTTAGCAGCCTCCAGTGCGGCACCTCGTCAAAGGCCTTCTGGAAATCCAGATAACCACATCCACTGACTCTCCTTTGTCTGAATTGCTCATTACCTCCTCAAAGCATTCTAATTGTTTTGTCAGGCATGAACTCCGCTTGATGAAACTGTGCTGACTCAGCCTGACTCAATAGTTTTACCATTACATCTGATTCCATCTCCTCCCTCTCAAACTGCAGGATAAATTCTATCATATTATGGTTGTTGGCTCTTAGGGATTCCTTCACCTTAAGCTCCCTAATCAAGTCTGTCTCATTACACATCACTAAATCCAGAATTGCCTGGTCCCTCGTGGGTACTACCACAGCCTCCGCCAAAAAAGCCATCTTGTAAACATTACACAAATTCCTTTTCTTGAGATCCCCTACCAACCTCATTTTTCCAGTCCACCTGCATATTGAAGTCCCCTAAGATTATTGTGATAGTGCCTTTCTTACATAACTTTTCTATTTCTTGATTTATTTTCTTTCCCACATCCTGACTGCTGCCAGGAGAACGTACGTACCTCCCACGAGGGTCTTTTTTCCTTTGTGATTCCTCAAATCTATCCACACAGATTCTACACTTCCTGAATCTATATCACTTCTTCTACCAATTTAATTTAATTTCTTACTAACAAGGCAACCTACCTCCTCTATCCGTCTGCCTTTCCTTTTGATAGGTTGTGAATCTTTGGAGATTTAGTTTCCCAGCCCCGATCCCCTTGCAACCATGTCTCTGTGATCCCATGGTATAATTCTTACCAACTTCAATTTACACTACAAGCTCATTTACCTTGTTTTATATTCTGTGTGCATTTAGGTACAGTGCTCTCAGTCCTGCGTTGATTGACCTCATTTCATAGTTGCCCGCTTATTTGCTGCACCTAAATTTTGATTCCTGACCCTTTCCATATTCTGTGTCTTATTACTTGCTCTGGAAAGTTTGATAACCTCTGCTGAGCCCTCTCTCCTTTAACTTTTTCCATAATTTTCCATGCAACTGAACCCACCCCCTACTGTTTAGTTTAAAGCCCAAAAGATGCTGCCAACCTGCTGAGTTTCTCTGGCAATTTCTGTTTTTTTGTTTCAGATCTCCAGCATCCGCAGTTTTTAATTATATCATTGTAATAGGGAAATCATAACTTGTTGGAAAACAAATCAGTTACGTCTTATGACAGAGCTGTACATTCCTGATCTTAGTTCTACAGCTGTAATTCATTCTTTTATTGTTTCTTTTTCCCCAGAATACATGCCTTTGGTTAACATTTTGGGTCAAGTGACCCTTCCTCAGAACTCCTAGCCTGTCCCAGTCCTTTGGCAGCTTCCCCACATCTGAGGAAGGGTCACTCGACCCGAAACGTTAACTCTGATTTCTCTCCACAGATACTACTGGACCTGCAGAGCTTTTCCGGAAATTTCATTTTTGTTTCTGACTTACAGCATCCAAAGTTCTTTCAGTTTTTATATACTTTTGGCTTCTTTATTAATTATGGAGCCACAAACTGCCTGAGTCATACCTGCGATGAAGATGGGTACGTCAGACAAAAAGGTTCACTTCATGCTGTCTTTTGTTTTGATGTTAGGAAATACAATGTTATAAGATGGGTTGGGGGAGGAATTTTTGAGGTGTAAGTTTAACATTGTAGACTAGACATAATTGGCAGGGTAGTCTGAAAACCACAATAACTGTCAGGATTTCATGCACGTATTGCAAAACTACTATTGATTTATGTTGTTGATGCTCTGAATTTCACACTGTTTAAGATCTTAACAAAACGACAAATGAATAATGAGAAATGCTGTGTTTTCTGTCACAGCTACCAGCTGCCAAGTGGCTACAAGCCAGCTCCGATGGACCTGAGCCACATCAAATTAACCTCAACCCAGGAGGCAATGGTGGACAAACTGGCGGAGAATGCTCACAATGTCTGGGCCAGAGATCGCATCAGACAAGGCTGGACGTACGGCATTCAGCAGGTAAGTTGTGTCCTGTCTGTGTTTGCAGTGGATGTCACATCCTAAGTTATTGCACTGCGGGACTTGCTGCTGATTAGACAGAATGGAAGCTATGAAAGTTTCAAAAGCCTTTTGCATTTTTAATGAGCCCAGTGCTAGCTGAGCAAGAGGCTGTAGCATGTTTATCCTTCTATCAGGCTGCAGAGCTGGAGCATTTGCAACACATTTATCTTGAACACTGCATTTTCTGCTGCAGCAATGTCTCAGCAGGTGGGCGGACTGGAAATGGGTGGGTCTGGTCTACAGCAGCTGGATTTACTTGAATGTCTAACACAGTGACCATTCTCCAGGCACCATCACCTTCTTAATGACTGAGGCTAGCAACAGCTAATAGCAGCTTGTATGAGAGTGGCACGGGTGTTTGAGCCATTGAGGACTGGATGGTTCCAGCTGTCTGGGGGTGGCCTGGGAGCTGGCTGGGTGAAGAGGACTCATAAAATGGTGAGGGATGGCAGGTGTGTGCCAATCACCTTCCTATCAATTTGGAGGAAGCATACCACTTAAATGACCAATTAAGGGCCTCTTACAGGCGCCTCATGGAGTGACCATCCAGTGAACCCTTGTGGCCTCCCTGCAGACAGTGAGTGGAAGTGGAGCACCCTGCTCACTGGGACATTGTGAGGATGGAAGGTCCCCCGATAAGGCATTGACCCCATCAGCAATACACCCCTGCCTGTACCAACATTGCCTTTTCCTTTGGCCTGCAAGTCCCTACTCGACTCACCTGTTATGAGGATGGTGTTCATCACTGTGTCCTTTCAGCTGGGTGCAGTCCTAGCAGTGTCCACCCACTCCCAGTGGTGCTGCTAAGACTGAACAGCAGCTGGACGGCATCGTCAGAGCCAGGTTTCCAACCTTTATAAAGTTAGGAGCCCTAACAGCAACTGATTTGTTGCCAGGAGGACCCAAAAAAACAACCATGGTGGAGTTGCCCCCACCACTCTGACTAAATACAAACCTCAGTGTGCTTTCAGCCCCAAAAACACACATAACTCTGTTGTTGATGGAAAGTTTTGTTGGAATCATGTTGGAGCCAGAGGTGTACTTCAAAATTGAGTTGGTGTTTGCCACATTGTTTAACAGATAAGCCCCCAAATTCTTGTTCTGCCAGTCAATGTGCTCCAAGTCCTGAGTCAAAGAGTGGAAATTGTGCATCAGAGGTCCCCATCTTGACTGTGAGCAAGATAATCTGTCTTCCTGGCTCAATTTGAGCCATTATTAATCCTGCCATGTAACTAAAGCCTGCTATCAACAATCCTCTGTATGGACAGAACGAGGGAAAGATGGCCATAGCTTTCAGGAACTTACATGGACGCATTTCTGGAGGCAAGTGAAATAGACTGGAATTTAGATTAGATCTGCTAGATCTGTTACTGAGCAGTAACCTGTTGCATTTGGATTCCGTTACAAATTTCCCACCTCTCTGCACTCACCTTCCACCCTCTCCCTCAGCCCCAACTTCCTTAATATGTCGAAGGAAGGGTCCTGAAACTGGACCCAAAATGTTAACTCTGATTTCTCTCCACAGAGCTGCTGAACCTGCTGAGATTTTTCCAGCAGTTTCTGTTATTGTTCCTTAATATGTCAGTCATTCAAGAAATGTGGATCAGAGGTGGGGAATTTGATTTGAGGCACATCGTAATCATTTTTAAATGGTGGAACTGGGTTAATGGGCTGAATGGCCTTTGCATTGATTATTCTTTGGCAATTTAGCACCATATATTTTGCACGTTTTGTTTCGAATGCAGAGAATTTACATTGTTTGTCAGTCATAATTTTTCCTTCTGGAAGATGTTTTCGAGGTATTGGCCTTCTGTAGTATTTCACAACTGTCAAAGGAGTACTAAAAAAAACTTCTCTCTTGCCAAGAAGAGGTTCATGCAGAGAATTATGTGGCAGTTAGTCTTTCATAATTGGTTCAGGAAAGCAATAAATTTTCACAATGATTAGGTCCTAGTATATGTGATGTGAGTAGCCGATTCAGTGCAATAACATCTGACTGATAGAATTCGCAGCATTTATATAAGTGAACCTCCTTGCTTTATAAGTACAATGTTTTTCTTTTCTTCGATGTTAAAGTTTCAATTTTCCCACTGGTTTAATGGATAAACACAGTGCACCATACAGGATGAAGCAGGAGCTGGGATCACCAGCAGTGACCATCAGATACTGAATGTTGACAGTTCTCCTCTTGGGTAGTTCTGATCTTCTCCCTCAAGATCACAGCCCCAAGTTTTTTAAAAATTAATTTGGGGGACATGGTAGTCGCTGGCTGGCCAGCATTTATTGCCCATCCGTAGTTGCCCTTGAGAAGGTGGTTGTGAGGTGCGTTCTTGAACTGCTGCAGTAGAGTTGCTGTAAGTTGACCCACAATGCCCCTGGGGGGGATTTCCATAATTTTGACCCAGTGACAGGTTGAGAGCTACTAATGACGAAACAAAGTATTTCCTTGAGTATCACATAAAAAAAGAAAATTATACCTTGAGAAAGTAGGAACAATAAATGCCATTCTGCAAATTCTTCAATGGTAATGTTTCTCCCATTATAAGGTAAGAAGTGGGGATGTTTGCTGATGATTGCACAATGTTCAAAACCATTTGCAGCTCCTCACATACTGAAGCAGTCCATGTCCAAATGCAGCAAGACCTGGTTACGTCCAGGTTTGCACTTACAATTGGCAAGTAACATTCACACTACACAAGTGCCAGATAATGACCATCTCTAACGGGAGAATCTGACGATCTCCCCTTGACAGTCAAACGGTGTTACCATTACTGAATCCCCCACAGTCAACATCTTTGGGGTGACCATTGAGCAGAAACTGAGCCGGACTATTTTTATAAATACAGTGGCTACAAGAGCTGGTCACAGCAGGCTAGGAATCTGCTGCAAGTGACTCACTTCTTGACTTCCTAAAGCATGTCCATCTACAAGGCACAATCAAGAGTGTGATGAAATGCTCCCCACTTGCCTGAATGAATGCAGCTCCAACAATACTCAAAAAGCTTGACATCACCCGTGACAAAGCAGCTCACTTGATTGGCACCACATCCATACATATCCACTCCCTTCACCATCGATGCTCAGAACAGCTTGGGACCTCCGTAGGAGGCTAAAGTGGATTATACACTTGTCACGTTTGGTTGAAGGTTGTTGTAATTGTTTAAGCTTTATCTTTTGCACTGCTATGCTGCATTCTGCCCCGTCATTGAGGATTGGGATATTTATGGAGCCTCCTCCTCCAGTAAGTTGTTTAGTTGCCCATCACCATTCACAATTGGGTGTGGGAGAACTGAAGTGCTTAGGTCTGATCTCTTGGCCGTGAAATAGAGTCGTAGGAATGTGAGTAGGCTATTCAGCCCCTCAAGCTTGTTCCGCGATTTACTGGTCTGCCTCAGGTCCCTATCCCTTGATCCCTTTGCTTAACAAAAATTTATCTATCTCAGCTTTAAAATGAACAATTGATCCAGCATCAACTGCCATTTGTGGAAGAGAGTTCCAAAACTTTACCAGTCTTTGTGTGTAGAAATGCTTCCTAACATCTCTCTAACCCTCAGCCTCAGACTGTGCTTAACTAATTGCTAATTGCTTGGTTTGGTCTGACATTTTGGCCTGATGATAATAATAGAATGGAGGAAATGTAGAGGTGAGTTGGGGGTGAGAGATGAAGGAAGAAGGCTTTGTTTTTCTGTTTTCTCATCTATTGGGATTCCTCATCACCTTGTAGCTGCCTCTTGAGGGGCAGCTGGCATGACTTCACTGAGCGGTCACCCCCTCAACCAACCAACTAGGAGAAAAATGTTACCTTTTCAGGCCCTTTCTCCTGAGACAGGAGGAACAAGGTGAGAAATTTCATAATAAGGGCACAGAAGGAGACCATTCTTCCCTTTGAGTCTATGGCAGCTCCTGCTGCAGAGAGGTGCTCCCTAGACAATATTGCACACGTGCCCCCGACGTACAGTGGGAGCTGGAAGAGAAGACGTACAGGAACGGGGGAAGCGTGTTGGCCATTGCACTTTAGAGCTCATGACCCCAAAATTTCAGGAACTAGCCCAGGTTTGGGAAGCCCTGCAAGAGGACAAGCCAATAAGTCCTTTGTTCCTGTTTAATCACGATGTGGAGATGCTGGTGTTGGACTGGGGTGGACAAGGTCAGAAATCACATGACACCAGGTTATAGTCCAACAGGTTTCGGGGCCTCAGTCCTTCTTCAGGTGTTACCTTCTTCAGGTAACACCTGAGATCATCTGGATATTTGAACAGTAGAGAGAAACTGATAAATCCACTAAACCCCATTGCTCTTCCTATCAGTTGGCGATTCCTGACATGAAGCAGTTTACTCAGCTTTGACCATGGATTGTGCAATTATAAGAACATTCTTTCTGCTCTGCCACATTATATACTTAAAGGAAACGGAGAGGCAGGCTACCACAGAAGTTAGGATATAAATAGGTCAATCATGTGCATTTCTCAAAAGAGGTGATTGAGGAATATGGTAAGAAGATGAGGAAATAGCTATGACATTCAAAAAGAATGAACTGTCAGTTGGACCTATTGACCTTTTCCTAGAAGAAACCATGTTCACATGAATCATAAATGTACTTTGTGAATTCTACCACATCTGCCTTTTATGGTAGACATTTTTAAATGGGATGAGTGATAAATACAGTCCTTGGGAGTGAAAATGGAGCTGAATCTCAGATGTGGATACAAAAATTAATATGCAAGAAATCCTTTGATTAATTATGCATATTAATGCAAACTGTTGTGTTAAAGTAAGACTTTTCAAGTCCATGAAAAGTGTGCAGTATTTCAATGAAGTAAGTAATTTATCTGTCACAAAGAAATCATTAGGGCTCAGAATATACCTTCAAGATCATAGTTTAAAGGACTTGAAATATTAGAATAATGTATCTTACAAGTTCATATGCCTAATCTCCATTAAAAATACACTCTATTTGA